GTGTGGGGTAGGTTTGAACAGTTCAAAACAAAAACAGCATATTCAAAATTTGACTCCAACAATGTGTGTTTAAAGCTGTACACACTGCTGAAAATTATCACGTGGCCACACGTCATCACAAGATAATTATTTTTATTCTGTGCCACCGGATGGTCACCGTATTAAAGTAATAGTTGTGATTTTAAAAATACTTGGTAAAAAATTGTACTGTAACAGAGTAATTGTACTTCTTTAGTATACGCTTCTGGTACTCTTACACTAAATATTAAGAGTTTTTTTTAATTTTTTTTATAACTTTTTACTTTGAGGGTGTGTTACCATGTTGAAGATCCTGGTCTAAGCTCAAAATGTTTCTTGGGACACTCCGTGTTTTCACCAACTGCTTAATTTTCTGCACTTACTGACCGGATTATGTTTAACCTGAAAATAACGGTAAATAAGTTAGAGGTGTGGAGAGGAGCACTTCCACAGCATCTTCTGTTTCTTGTTCTGGCTGAAGTTTTGGTGACTCATCTCTGAAGTACAAGGTGGTGTTTTGTTTCTGGAGGGATTCTTTCATTGCACCTTCTTTTGTCTCTCTTGTTTTTTYCCAACCTTTCCTATCCTTGTTTTCCCATCACTTCCTGACCAAACTCACTACGGCAAGGCTCTAGGAGGCGACAGAAAGGCTCTGACTATACCTCTACCTCAGATGAAGAGTATGACTCAAGTTGGGCCAGTCTTAAACACAAACGCTCCCAACCTTCCTCAGCTTCTCATAGTCCTCGCAGTCAGCCTCGACCCCAGCCGGTGGTCGCCCACCACCCGAAACCGAGCAGCAGAGATTCTGAGGAGGAGAACCACGAGGGAGAGGCTTTCCACAGCTGGTCTGCACACAGTGCCGAGATCGCACGGTAAGAAATGTCACCAACCGAGCTCGTCCAGTGAGGCTGTTCAAATAGCTCTCTGATTTAAAGGGGGGCATTTTGTATTTTCCAGGCACATAGTTCATGTAAGAAAAAAGTTGTAGGAAAAAATAAACTTAATTATAATGTTACATTTATTCAACTCAAAAGCCCATTCTTCTTAACATGTGGACACAGTTCTGTATATTTGTATTGCACATTTCAGGGTCTGTGCCTTGGCATCTGTAACTGATAACAGTCTGAGCAAAAACATTAGTTCATCTTATCTGTTCTCCTGGCCTAAAGTCGACTTAACWTCCCAGAGGTAATGGACTTTKTTTTTGTTTTTTTGTTTTAATTCTTGCTGTTATCTCTGTGCTTGTTCCTGGATTTCTGTCACCTCTAGGTTGAGTCAAGACCTGGCCAAAGACCTGGCTATCTTAGCCAGGGAAATCCACGATGTAGCAGGAGACGGTGATTCTCAAACGCCGGCAGCGGAGTCCAGTGCGCTGGTCGCTCATGAGCAGGTAAATCAAACATGCAAACCAGTCATGCAAATAGAAGACTTTGTTCAGGTCACGTGGAAGGAAGAGTTGAGTTTTTTTCTCGTGTACATTTTTTTCATGAGTAGACAAATTATTAAAGAAAAAATTCAGAGTAAAATTTATCTATTGTAGTGTCAAGGTAAGAAGCTGTGATTTTTAGTGGTGGAAAAATAGCAAATGTATAAAAACACAGAAACAAATAATTGTTATTGCTGTTTGAGAATCTAATTTTTTATATAAAAGTACAGGTTACTACAGATTTACAAATTCAGCTCTTTAAATTTAATATATAATATTATAATATAATATTTATTAGGGGTGCAACAATACTTGTACCCGTTATCGAACTGTTCAATACAGTGCTTTAGGTTCAATACACACTTGTATCGAACAATACAGATTTTTAAAAGTTATTTTATGAACTTGTCTTCTGAAGATGTTCTGTGTTAAAGGATCAGTGGATCTGTGTTCAACTACTCCATCTAGGCTGTATTTTTGAGTGCAGATCTACTGAGAAACTTGCTGTTTCAGCAAAATTTAAATTTTAAATTTAATTTTAAAACAGTACTTTTGAGGTTAAACAAATCTTGAAGGTTTCGTGGACCTCTTCTATGAACTCTGATCTTTAGTTCTTTCCAYAGATTTTCTGTTGGATTCAGGTCAGGTGATTGGCTGGGCCATTCCAGCAGCTTTAGTTTCTTTCTCTGAAACCAACTGAGAGTTTCCTTGGCTTTGTGTTTGGGCTCATTGTCTTGCTGAAATGTCCAGCCACGTTTCATCTTCATCATCCTGGTAGATGGAAGCAGATTTTTATCAAGAATGTCTCTGTACATTTTTCCACTCATCCTTCCTTCAATTATTTGAAGTTTGCCAGTACCATATGCTGAAAAACAGCCCCACACCATGATGTTCCCACCTCCAAACTTCACTGTTGGTATGGTGTTTTTGGGCTGATGTGCAGTGCCATTTGACCTCCAAACATGATGTGTATTCTGGCATCCAAACAGTTCATTGTTGGTCTCATCTGACCAGACTATATTCTCCCAGTATTACACAGGCTTGTTTAAATGTTGTGCAGCAAACTTTAAAGGAGCTTCAACATGCTGTTTCTTCAGCAGTGGAGTCTTGCGTGGTGAGCGTGCATACAGGCCATGGTGGTTCAGTGCATTACTTATTGTTTTCTTTGAAACAAACGTACCTGCTAATTCCAGGTCTTTCTGAAGCTCTCCACAAGTGGTCCTTGGCTCTTGGACAACTCTTCTGATAATTCTTTTCACTCCTCTGTCAGAAATCTTGTGAGGAGCACCTGGTCGTGGTCGGTTTATAGTGAAATAATGTTCTTTCCACTTCTGAATTATGGCCCCAACAGTGCTCACTGGARCCTTCAGAAGTTTAGACATTCTTCTGTAACCGATGCCATCATTATGCTTTGCAACAATAAGGTTGTGAAGGTCTTGAGAGAGCTCTTTACTTTTACCCATCATCAGATGGTTCTTGTGTGATACCTGACCATCATTTGGGACTGAACCAACTGATATTAACTTGCACTGACAAGGGGCAGGCTTGCTTTCTAATTACTGAGAGAGTTCAGCTGGTGTCTTGGCTTTCCATGCCTTTTTACACCTCCCTTTCTTCATGTGTTCAATACTTTTTCCCTGTCATTCCACATTATTACAAATAACTTCATTTCTGGACATTTTTTGATTTCTTTGTATATATGGATCACTTGGGTTGTTACCAACATCTGGTGAAAATTTCATGTCATTAGCACCTCTAGTAATATATTTACTGAGAAAAATGKTGACGTGTTCAATACTTATTTTAAATACATTGGTGTAGTTATGACTTTAACATTAGTTAGCTATAAATGACTAAATGAAATATCTGATTCTTAATTAGGCAAAATACGTTTTGTGTGTCTGCTTTTCTCCTGAAACTTATTTTGTTCCAGCAGGTTCCACAGTCTGGACTCAACAGGGTCCAGCCGAGTTCTGCACCAAAAAAAGATCCTGACCTGAAATCAAGTGACCATGAACAAAACTCACGTCATCCACCTCGAATCAAAGATGAGGTCTGAAGCGACGAGCTGCTTTTTATCTTCCTACAGGCGCTCTCTTTTAGCGAGTGACTTATTTCCTGTTTTATATTTTTTTCCTCCCTSCAGGTCAGTGGAGACAGTTTGTTGCTGGGTCCTGTTCATCAGGTCGCAGCGGCCATCAGAGGAAACACAGAGCAACTTGTTGACAAGATTAAGTAAGATTCAAACAAACAAACAGAGATCCAGCTCTTTTAATCTTAACCAATTATCAGATGTCACTGAGGGAGATTTGATGCAATTTTCCTTTGACCTTTWTTTTATTATTTTTATTGGAACACAAGATCGATTGAAGTGCATCTATAATGTTTCAGATACACAAATACAGACAGAATTTCTCCACAAAGATTTAAAAACAGGTTTTTAATCAGAGCATTCTGCAGGCTGCTGTTCCAGGACAGGGGGGATGTCTGGGAAGAAACTGAGGCCAAGATTAAATCTGACTGTGATGCTGCTGTTGGCAAATCTTCCAACAAGGTGAGGGATTCTTTGTGTTTGTGTTGTCATCGGCTGACAGTGTGTGTTTGAGCTTATCCGCCCGTCTGTATTTCAGGAAGTGACGTCTATCTTGAGAGAACTCCGAAGTGTTCAGATTCAACTCGAGGGTGAGACACTGTCATTTTAACCACCTTAAATTTATAGTTTTTAATGCAAAAAAGTAAAAAGTAAAAATTATTTTTCCTTTCGTTTTAGTCCTTAATGCCGTCATGGAACCCAGAGGTACAGTGGAAGCTACGAAGACTTCCTCCTCCTCCTCCTCGTCTGAAGCTCGCTCATCCAGAACATCTTTGTCTCGAGACTGGAGGACGGTCCACTCCGTCTCCAAGCGAGGCGGCGGCCCGAGGCCCAGTGGGAGCATCAGGAGAGCTGCTGTGACTCCAGACGACCTCAGAGAGGGGTTCATCGTCTGAGACACGGCTTCTGCACCCTGACTGAACCTCTGCTGCAGCTCCGTGAAACCAGGTGTCAGGCGTCTGAGCGAGTGAAACTAGATGGAAGGAGAAGTAAAACCTGATCTACGAAGCTGTAKCCTCTGTGGACACTCACACAGCGTAGGCCTGACTCACTTTTAAAGCACAGCTAAAGAGTGGTGTGTGTGTATCAGATGATGATTTAAGGAAGTCCCGTGACATTTCAGTAGATCTCATCTCTAACAAGCCACAAAGTTATACTTGATTCTCTTTTACTGAATGTTTTTCCATGTTTGCCAATGATACGGCCAATATATTTGATTTTTATAAAGAGTTTGTTGTAGAAACACCCTGAGCGTAATTATCTCAGGGAAATCTTTGAAAATGTGTGTTTAGTGGCAAATTATTATCAGTAATTTCAGTGCATATCTTTATATATTTTTTATGTGTTTTGTCTTTTTGTGCCACTTTTTTTTTTGCAGACCAGATTTACAGAAGCGTATGAAAATTATTTATTAGTGGGTACTTTTGTGGAAGACGTAACAGGATTTTTTTTTTTGTAGACGTACGTTCTTGTGGCAGACCAGTGAATGTTGAATTACACATGTAGGTGTGTTATGCCTTTGGAAACCTTTTTCCCTCCACAGGAGATGGAAATCCTTCAGCCATGTTCAATCTGAACTGGCTCATTCTGAAGTTTATGCACCTAGCTTTTAAGAACATAGCTGTAACTGGGATGTTTTTGAGCGTTCCTGATTTTTAAACGTGTTTATTCGTGTCTAAACCAGCCGAGGCATTTGGAGCTTTTGTGCACATCAGGTGATCTACGCACTTAACGTCAGAATAATGTGGTCAGTTTGAAACTCCCTCAGTCCCTTTTGAGTCATACTATTATTATAAAGTTAAAAGTCAAAAGTACTTTATGTTTTCTACAAATTACCTCTCAGTCGTGTCTTTTGCACTAGTATGGTTCAACAGCATTCCTCTAACCTGACAAAGCTTTTTCCTCTCCTGAGTGATTGTAAACATCTTTTTCTCTGGTGAGGTCAAAGCAGGGAATATATATAATTTTCTTTTTGAAGTAAACCAGTAAATTTCTTCTCAAAACAAACTGTGGGGATGGAAAGCCCTTTAAGTGCCGTACTGCTGCGTGTGTTGTTTACAAACTGAATGTCCTTCCAAACATGCTGCTGCTCTTCAATGGAAAATATTTTCATGTTATTTGAGTTAAATCAGAAAATGAATCTTATGTATCAAATTTGTATCCCTATATTAAGTTTCTGTTTCCCTCTCTACCCCCCCCCCCC